ATTGCATATGAAGCAAAATGAAACAACTGTTTGGTTTCACCATTTATAAAACAAACAGTAAAAACTGAAATGCTTTGATTTTTGTGCATGGAAAAACGCCAAAATCTTGTTTCCCCCAACGCCCCTGCGTTATTAAAACCAAATGCAAATGTGCCACACTTTAATGGGTATTAATCTGAGGTGGAGAATAAAAAAAACGTTTAAAATGAATACCAACCAAACAACAAAAACAGGAAACGTTTAAAGTGAAAAAATATAACTAAACGTTTAAAGTGAAAAAGCACAAATAAACGGCCACCCATAAATGTAAATGAAACCAAATACCCTCTAAATCATTGGAGAGAATATTGTTCAGTTTGGATTGAACCAAAAATCAAAGGGATAAGTGGACTGCAATCCACATCAAAAATCTGAAATTGTAGCCCTCTCCTAGTTTACTAGTAGCCCCCCTATAAACCGCATCCTACCCATGAATTTGACATCAATCCATTGGCAGGATTCAATCCACCTCTAGAAATCCTAACTCCACCCTACTGAACTATAAAAACCCCAAAATCGAAATACCCACTGAATTACGGTTTCATTGGTTAATTGGGTGGTTTGTTTCGACTGAAAATTAGTGGTGTTTTAATCAAGCACTAGGTTGATGTGATACTGTCTTTTTCACCCAACACTAGTGTGTTTAAAAATCAGTGGGGATCGTTTAGTTATTCTGGGTAATGAGCTTCTTCTAGTTTAATCATTTGGCCTGGTCCAAGTCTGACAACACTGATTGTAGAGTCTTGTGGTAACCACCTAACTTAAGTTTTGTATGCTGGGAAATGGGGTCACTGAAACTTTGGAGGAAAAGCTCTGAGGCACGTTTGAAGACACTATCTGTAGAACGTTATTTTCCCCCACTCAGTTTCACTGAATTTGCTGTTGGGTTATAGGCAAATCCGTTCCCAGGATACAACAGAGCCTTGGAAGAGAATCTGCAACTTGCAAAGTTGAAGAGTCTTCGAAGAAACCTTCTATGAGATTGTAGCAAACCAGACTGAGAGAGAGAGAGAGTGATTTTCAAAAATGTTATGTGTGAAATGCCTAATTCATGCTCCTTAAATAGTTTATGAAGAGTTATGAAGAGTTATGAAGAAAATGTAGGTGTTGGTTCAAAGATGGATCTTTGAACAATCAGACGATCAACAATCAGTATCACATCAAAACCAAAGCTGCCCTTTACGAGCCACACTCGTGCACGTGCATTGCGCGGTAGCAATCCTCCATACTCTCCTCTTCTAATTTTAAGGAATGTAAGCTCCTATTAAAATACTCAAAACAAAACTTGTAATTTTTCAATGTGGGACAAGTTCAAAACTGATTTTTGTAAGAGAAAAGTTGTTTTCTAAAACAAGTGTACAGGTGTAATTTCTCATGTAATTGACCAATTAAACCCATTGGATTTAATCTCTAATGAGATTAAAATCCAATATTGTATACTTGGAAGTTGGAACTTTGTAGGTCTTCAATGGAAAAGAGTGGTGGATAGAAATAGAATCACTACAAAGCAACCTTTCACTCTTTACGGGTATTGTATATTTGTGGCTAGTTGTTGGGCTTTCATTGTATCATTTACCAAAAGTTTACTAGAAATTAGCCTTGGCTTAATCAAGCAGACCTGTTTTGTGATAAGCTCTTGCTGTTGTTGGGGCTTTAGATTAGATTTGGGTCAGTGTTGAATGAAGGGTCGGGTAGCCCATCCCCCTTACCCATTAAGGCTATGTTTGGTTTGAAGGAAAATGCAAGGAAAGGTAGGGAAACCTTTACAAACCTTGTATAGGTTTCTTTGTCTTTCCCTTCCTTTCCCWACCTTTTCCTTCAAATCAAACATAGCCTAAAAGTCTAGATTTATTGATCACAAATTCACAATATATTGCTGCTTATGTTCATTCAACCATGTTCATCGACATTCCTAATGTGCGATTAGATGAATGTAACCAGTAATGTGTTGTGGTTGGTAGCTTTCGACTCTACTCATAACCACCCCTAACCCTGGTGACATCATCCAACTTTCTATTAACCTGAGCTAATTGTTTGAGCATTTATCCARGACTGGGGTATGGATGTCCAATTTCAAGCCTTACGTGCTCGTTTGGGTGGGMTAAAGTTTTTATATATTGAGTTGCTTCCACTGAAATGCTTTAATGAAATTAGCTTCACTGAAAAGCTTTTCTCTTTATTCTTTTTAGCTCAATGACAACATATTTAGGTTTTCTAGATGCTGAACGAAATAAAACTTGTAAGTTGTCCACATGGATAATACTTTATACAACCAAAAGTTGTTGCATGAAAGCCCTCCCAAACAAATGAAGTTATTTACCCAGGTAAATGCAATCATCTGGGTAAGTTTTTTCTGGGAATCACTTACCAAAGTCAGTGCATTTACCCATGTTCTTTTATTTTCCAGGTAAATAAGGCAAAGGCCATTTTATCCATAAAAGTCCTTCATTAAAAGGGGTATTTTTGTCCCATTCAAGTGTTGGCAACTTTCCCATCAGGTGGAAAATATATTTATCCACCTAAGAGATGAACATCACTTACCTGGGTAAGTGATACCTACGAAAATAAACTTTCCCTAGTCCCCACATAAATATGAAAAAAAAACATGGGCTTTTTAGTCAATGAGATTGACCAACTTTTTCCCCTCTCAAAATCCAAAAAAAGAACACCCCCTAAAAGTTGTGAAGTGTTGTACTTTGAAAATGTGATTATTTATATAAATATTACATCAATTTTATCAATATTGTATTTATATTGATTATCGAGGTAAATCTATACTGTGAGTGGAGTTTTACATTGATTTACAATATAATACTACACTCCATCCAAACATTGACAAATACGAAATGGGCATGGAGTTTTACACCGCAAACAAACACTAACAAATATGGACCAAGAGTGGAGTTTTACACCAATCCACATTTATACCACAAATAAATGCAACCTAAGAGACATAGTTCCAAATTTAGGCCTTAATTGGCCCAAATTGAAATTGGACTGAGTAAGTGTATCAGATATCATCTAACAAAAAAAAAGGTGAATTAGAGATCAAACCAAGATCGAAATGTCAATTTCTATAAAATGTGCCTTTTCTTTTCTTTTTGATGGGCTGCACAACCGGGATAGCCCCTCCACCAACTCATAACCCCAAGGAATGGCAACAGGGTGGGGATTACGTTGCCCATCTCCAACCCCAACCCCCAAATCACCCCCCATCCCCGTCCCTGATCCCCGTCGAGGAAAGAAATCCCTCTCCATCCTTGACCCCGATGGGGATGAATTCCTYGTTGGAGACCCAAATCCCTGAGAAGAGAGACTGAGAGAAAGAGAAAGAGGGGCTGAGACTAAGAGAGAGAGGACCGTTGCAAGTTGAGGCCGACGATGAGAGATAGAGTCCAACGAGAGACGGCGATGGCAATCGACGACAATAGACTACTAGTTTGAGAGACTGAGACTAAGTTTTAGTTCTTTCTTCTAAGTATCCTATCCTCTGTCGAGACTCGGGTGGTAGGCCAGTAGTCGGTGATGATAGACGTCCAATGATGTCCGATGTCCGACGGGCAAGTGGCGACAGTGACAATGATCGGTGAATCGGCGATGAAGACTAAGGAAGAAGAAGACTGACTAGGGTTCACGGTTCAAAGTTCTCTGTCTATGTCTATCGAAGACTCTAACCTCTAAGTGTCAAGTGTTTTTGTTTTTTAAGTTTTAATCTTTAAAATAATTAAATAAATGAATAATAATATTATAATATTATAATATAAATAAGATAAAATATTTTATTATATATAATTATATATTTATTAATCAGAGACAGGTCGGGCAGGGATTGCATTCCCCATCCCCCCATCCCCAAACTTGATCGGGGATTCAGGGATAGTCCCATCCCCAACCCCAACCCCGCCAAAGTACCCCTCACACCCGACCTCGTCAGGTCGAGGAGCCCATGTGCCTGTTAGGGACAGGAAAAATTACCACCCCTAATAACCCCCAACCTAGGTGCAGGTGGGATCCGATCCCAAGTCCCTGCTATGTACAGAGAAGACCTTAACAACCTGCTAATTGGCACCTTGCATCAATGACTACTTTAACACTTTTAGTATATATGCTCTGTTTGTTTGCACTAAATATAAATGCATGTGATGAATTAGTATTTTGCATCATAAACAAATGCCGCCTTTTATTTTTATTTAAAACCTAAAAAAAAAAAAACTCCTTTTGTGGCAAAGAAAAATCTCACTCGCGCTTATTGATCCTTTCCCACATAAAGTGGAGTCTACGTCAGTTTTAGTTTTCATTTACTTCTCTCAAACGAGTTGAGAGTTTTTTCCTACAAAGTGGGATTACATCAGTACATCACTTTTCATTTTGCTTATTCCGAATACAAATAAAACAAAGTGAAACCTTGAATACATGTATACTTCATGTATACATGTATTATATGCGGCTTCCAATCGGGGGATAGAGAGCAACTGATTCTTTCTCTGATTTGTGGTTTTGTTCTTTTCTTTTACTTTATTTTCAATGGTTTTGGGGCTGGGTTGAGTGTGAATGGAATTTCTTGTTTGGGCTTTGGGGCAAGCAGGCTACATCAAACGGTTGATTAATAAAAGGATAAATCTCTTAAACTATCCCTACTGTGATAAATTATTCTCTTATTATTTGTATATTATCTTTACTGTTTTTAAAAACTGATATCGCCCAAGTATCAACGGAAAGAAATGAAATATCAAATTTATCCTCTATTATTTTTAAAATTTTAAAATAAAACCCAATTACAATGATGATATTTCGGAAACGGAAAATCGTCAAAGAATGATAAAACAGTAGCCAGTTTTGTGCTAATGCTACTAGAGAATACAGTCTCAGGCTTTGGGTGGAAGGGGAAGGGCTCGATAAAAGAGAATAGTTGCGTGGGGGATTTCGAAGAAAAATCCATTTCGGATTACAGAATTAGAGGTGCAGGATAATTGATAATTTGATACATCCTTACCTGAGTTGGCTCTTATTTGGAGTTGGAATATCACAAGAGTAGAAAGCGGATGCTCTTTTGTTTCTTAACAGAGAAAGGTTTGAGTGAGTGACAGTGAGAGCACGAGAAAATAATGGTTCCAGTCCCGGTTTCCTCGTTCAGAAACCCGGCACCACCGTCACTGCATCTTCTCTGGTTTCTGTGTCAGAGTATGTTCCAGTTGCCAAGGTGGTGATCTCCTTATGTKGGGACTCACTCTAGAACAGACCTCCCTTGTTCACTGTCTTCAACCTCGACACGGCGGTGACAAAGTGGAAGCAGTGGTGAACCATCTCCTCCATCTTCTTCACTTCTCCCTCCTCCTCCCCCCCCCCTCTCTCTCTCACATAATCCCTCCCTCTCACTTTCTCACCATCCAACACCCCAAATCAACCATCAACATTGAACAGAACACCATCGAACCAGTTCATCCCTTTTTTTTCTCCTCATTCTTCTTTCTCCCCACTCCAGTCCATCTTCCCACTTCTGCTGTTGAAACAATACTGTAAATAGAGCACCATCATCCTAAACATAGAACATCTACCAATCACCGCAAGCTCCCGTTCCTAGTTCTTTTCCTTGTTTTCTTCGTTTTTCACCGTTGCTACAATCTGCAACTATCCCCTTCTATTGGTTCATTTAGTCATTTCCGCTGTTGAATAAAAATAATCTCCTCTCATTTCGGTTGTCCTTCCTTCAAGCTTTCCAACGATGCCTTCCCCTCCAACACTGTTGTCTTTCCAAGCTCGAGTAGAGCATAATGAATGTCAAACAAGTCGCCTCTTATACGTTTGAAAACTACAACAGCCTAGCTTCTCGTTTAATAACTACAGTCTCATCGAAGACAACATTAGAAAGCCCTTACCAAATGCAATTTTTATTGTTCACCCCCATCGTCTATGCTCGCCACTGCAATTGATGTGAAACAGAGCGTCTTCGGTCGTTGAAGTTCCCCTACTACAGTCCTCTACTTCAATGCAAATGCCGTGGTGGCTGTCCCCGGGTTGTCGTCCTTCTTATTTCGACTGAGCATTTAGGTAATAAAAAAGGTCACAATAAATCGAAGTTTATCCGAGTGAGATACCGGCCATTTCCAACCCATTATTGCAGCTCCTGAGAACCGTTTACACCCCCCCCTGCTCTCATATGACCAACCATTTTTTTCCTTATTTTCTTTAAGTTTTAGAATTGCTTTCTCTTCTTTAATTTCCAGTTTAATTTTTATTATATTTAATTTCTGTTTTATTTCTTTTCTATAGATTTAAAATTCGGCCAGGTAAGACGGAAGGCCTAACTTGAGAAGTTCGAGGGTCAAAAGAGATATCTGGAGATTGCTACCTCTGATCGAATTCTCAGACATTTTTATTTCGTTACTTTTATTTATTTGTTTTTGTTATTTATTTTTATGCACTTATTATTCTCAGTACAGTTCGAATTTGGTTTTAATGAATTCTATTTTTTTTTAATTAACTAATTTTATATTTCTGCAACTCCCCTTTGTGTTCTCTCTCTCGGATCTGAGTACGTAATTATTTTTCCCTTGTTTCACTATGGATACGATCCGTCCTCATCACTTTACTACTAAGCGCGTTGTTAAATACTCTGGAACACCAGTTTAAACATTTATAATTTTATTCTAATTCTCAAACAACTACTAACACAGTAAAGTGATGAGAACGAGTCGTATCCACAAGGAAGCAAGGGAAAAATAATTATGTATTCAAAACCAAGAGAGAGAACACAAAGAGGAGTTGCAGAAATATAAAATTAATTAATTAAAAAGAAAAAATGGAATTCATTAAAACCAAATTTGAACAATACTGAGCATAACAAGTGCATATAAATAAATAACAGAAATAAATAAATAAAAGGAACAAAATAAAAATGTCTGAGAATCCGATCAGAGATAGCAGTCTCCGGATCTCTCCTTCGACCCTCGAACTTCTCGAGCTAGGCCTTCTGTCTTACCTGGCCGAATTTCGAATCTATAGAAAATAAATAAAACACAAATTAAATCTAAAAATAAATTTGCAGGAAAGAAAAAAATTAAACTGGAAATTAAAGAACAAAAAATAATTTTAAAATTGAAGGAAAAAAATGGTTGGGAGGACTGGTTGTATTCTCTCTCCTCTCCCTTTTCTAAAGCTTAAAAGATGGGGTGTTATCAAGTGTGGCGCGGCTACACTTAGAAAACTGTGCCAGTCAATGTTCAGCTCTGATACCGGTGAAGGACTGAGTAGATACAAAGATGGATGGCTGATACTTGGGCGCACCAAACCTGCATACAAACAAAAAAAGAACAACTGCACAATATAGGATCCGATACACTATCTYTGAAACAAAATACAAGAGGGAAATGTCAAATCTGGATGGGGCCGAAATTTGGAGGTTGGTTGACCTTCCAAGTTATCTTTATTTGCMCACTTCGCTATCTTTGTGATAGCCATATATATAGGTCTTTCCCCAACGTTCTCTTCCTTGTTTTGAGGAGGAAACTTAAACAATTTGAACGTTTGGAGGGAAGACCAAGTTAAGGCCTCTCTAGATTGAGACAAATGTCTCATACTAACCAAGGATCTAACCACATGGTCATCCAGTCTAGACTGAGTCAAATGGATATCCATTGAGTCAATAAGAGCTGGAAATTGGATCCAGAATAATCCAACAATATTGGTATATCTATGCATAAAAATATTTTTAAATAAATTTATTTTTATAGAAAATAAATAAATATGTAATAATTTAAAATGATTGTGTGAAAGTATTGCATAGAAATAGCCATAAAATAATCATCTTCCATCAACATGTAGCTTGTCACATGGCCATTGGATATTCCAACATATTAAGAATGAAACGAGGGCCTATGACTATACCATTAGTCTCCACCCATGGGGAAGTAAGATGACTAGGCAGTCACTTTATGTAGCATCATCTTGTGGTACTCTTGCCACCTTATGTAGCATCTTGCGAATGATGACTGAGAAATGAGAATGCAGTCTCCACGCATGGGGAAGTAAGATTGCATACTTCCCATGTATTAAAACCAATTAGGTCCATTCATGATTCAACAACCATGCACACAACCTTTAGAGGTTAGAGAGGTTGATTGAACAAAGTTGACTTAATTTTTAGTTTTCAAAACCATTAATATATTAATTTGCAGAGACTAGAGAGTCATTAAAAACAACAATGAACTTCATGAAAAAAAGAAAAACTATCTAAAACCTCCCCTTTATCGATAATATCTAAAACTTTTCTTGACTTCTGGATACCTTCAAGGAGAACCCTCTGTTAGAAATATTTCATTAAATGCCAAGTAAAAAAAATACAAAATTACTACACTAACCATGGTTTTTAAAACCGACCCAGAAGCACAACTGTTCTGGGCATCATTTTCCGGTTCAATGGTTCAACCGTCTGGGTCAAATGGTTCGACCCATAATGTCATAAATAAATAAAAAACAATAAAATATTTATATATAATAAAAAAATCATAGAAATTTAAATAAAATACAAAAAATACATAGAAAAATACAGGAAAAAGAACAACATATGAAAAAAATAAAAATATCTAAATATAAAAATAATAAAATACAAAAAATATAGAAAATTTCTAAAAAATACAGAAATTTTTCCAAAAAATATAAAAAAATTTCCAAAAAATGTAGAAAAAATATGTAAGCAAGAATATGTAATGTCCAATCATAGAACATGAACTTGTGCAACATGTGAATTACTTACAGCATTTTTCAGTTGTGCACCATTACCAAAGCTTGATTTTCCAACTGGGGTAGGAAGAACTTTGGAATCACTAATGGGGTCAGAGACAGGATCTGTTGGAATCTCATCAGCTGATTCACGAAGAATAGCATTAAACATGGCCACATCTAATCTATTCATGCATTGCTCCATCACCTGGATCGATAAAAAAAGATTGTCATGTCATATTTAGAACTTAGACCTGACTATATATTGATAGGGCGAAGGAGAACATCTACTAGAATATCATTGCCGAAAGACTGATACCTGAGTATGATATAGGAAGTGAATTCTAGAAACATATAAAAAAAGGGGCTACTTATAAAGGAATTCCATCTTCACTCTACATGTAAAAGGGTCCATGCTTAAACTATCACTTAACAACATCCATGCAATGATCAATCCATACAATGCTTAATGCTTATGCACCCAGATTAGCACCGGATAATAAAGCCCAATTACAAATGGCAGCTGGGGCACTTGATTGGTGCAAGTACATTAGTAACAAATAATGAAAATATAGACTACCAGTCTAGCCAGCACAGGCAAACAACCACACTCATGGCCTCCAGCTCAAACAGGGCAAAGCTTTTCACAAGCATCCCTGAAAGCTTCTTTCCAAAGGTGTAAAGAAAAGTTCCCCTGTTCTTGGTCACCCAAACTCCCTGAGTTTGAYRCCATTACTTTATCATTTYCTAYCCYRGTGGCAGACWGCATATATGGYGTTAGAGTCTGGAGAAACAAACAGAAAGCCAGGTCTGAAAGCTAGCAGTAATTCATGATGCTTAATCTAGAAAAATCTGAAACGTTAAATTAGGGGAGAGGTGGAAAACACTTGGAATTGACCTGCCACCACACAGATTCAATTATTCGGGAGAAAATCCAGGCTTCAACCTTTTCCAGTGCAGTTACAAATGTATGCGGATCCTCCCAGTCATCAAAATCATTAGAAAAAAAAAAAACAAACTTCTCTTTCTTGTTCAGAGAACTTTCATTCCATTTTAATGGGGAAGATTTCTTTTCGTTTCCCATTTTACCACCATTAGCTTCAATTTGGGGATCAGCACAAATTGATAGTTGAGATTCCCCAACAACCTGGCTAATAATTGCCCTTAAAACAACTGAATTTGACAACCAAAAAGTTAACCTGCATTCAAAGGAAAGCACAATCAGGTGGAGCGTGAGAGGAAATAATCAAGTTCCCTAGTGTAACCTAAGTAACTGTATCAAACAGTTAAAGAGAGTTGCAGGCTCTGCAAACAAGTTCAAGAAGTTGCCTAATCAAGTTCCCTAGTGGGTTCGGGTAGTCGGGCTTGGTCGCAGGCAAGTTGCCGTTGCAAGCCTGCAAGTGCTGCTCCAAGAAGTTGACAGTGGGATTGCTCGCCAATGCCCAATGCTGAGTACCAAGTGCCGCTGCCGAGTGCCGCTGCAAACTCGCCATTCACCGCTGCAAATGCTGGTGAATCTTTTCACCGTCGGATGCCGCTGCAAGTGCTGGTGAGGGTGACTCTTTTCGCCTCTGAAAGCTCGCCGGTCGTCGTTGGTGTGTGTCATTGTCGGATGCTGGAGGTGATGGCAGCCGTAGGTGGCCGGTCGGTAGGGTGTGAGGGTTGAGATGACTGAGGATGGAACTCGGGAAGGGTTAGAATTCTAACCCTACAGCTAATGGGAATAAGGGATTCAAACCGGGTTGGGATATAGTAGGAATTTTATTTTTTTTATTTAAAACATTAAAAATAAAAAAACTAACTCGCGAACCGCTGCCCGGGTTGAACGGTTTAGCGGTCCGACCGTCTGGGTCAGCGTATTTTTTACCTTTTCTACATTTTTTACCAAATTCCGATTTTTAGTAAAACTGGACCCAGGGGGCTGACCGGTTACCGTTTTCCGGTCCGGTCCGGTTTTGAAAACCATGACACTAACTCTTATCAGTTATGACAAACTTAGATCTCCTGAAAGCAAAAAACGTGCAAACTTGCTGAAAACACATCATCCATACATGATAGCATGTGGTGGGATTTTTTTGGGGTCATATTAAAAAGTATAAAAGATGGCATCAAGTGGGTTAGGGTTGCTTTTTGTAGTTTGAAAATTACATTTTATGAGGTTATAAGAAAACATAAGGAACATGTATGGTTTACAAAGTCTTCTATTACATTTACATGGATGGATATGATTATAGTACAAAATTTGGAAAAATAATCACTTTTAATACCATTAATGGGATTGGCAAAATTTTCCACGAGAAATCAGGACACAATTTATTGTCTCATATCACTTGTTATTTAGGCTCTGTTTGAGAAGAGTGCTCTCAAAGAATCATTCAACCTAAAAACTTGAAGTTGTTAGGCGAAATCTTTGAATAGGTTGATATTCTCTAACATGTTCCTTCACATAAAAGTCCAATGGGCTCGAAGCATGAACAAGCACAAGCCCACCCATACCTTGTGCTGAAACTTATTGAATTATAATAGGGGTAACAACAATTGAATACTAGACTACTTGGTCAAAATAGTTCTGATAGCATCCCAAATAACCATTCAACCTAAAAGCTTAAGCTGTTAGGTGAGGTTTTTAAATATGTTGATATTCTCTAATAAGTGCAAATACAAATACGCATGGTGCAAAACCTTATATATATGATATTTCTAAACCTTTCATCTTTTATCAAACCAAACACAGTCTCAATCAGTTAGTTGTGCATGTTGACATAAATCGTACTATCTACATTATTTACTCAAATTATGCCCGATCCTTAAAAGATGGGACTCATCTAAACACCATGTAAGACTAATATTTCTTAAATGTAGAATCCTGCTGTGACATCGAACGAAGTTTGGCGGTATGGTACCAGTGAGCTATACTTATCAAATTCCATCCCCATAAAGAAAAGAAAATTAACAATACATTGTAAGCTATATACTTTTTGAATCTATGATTTCTCACCATACTGTTTTGTGGTATGGTACCAAAAATAAAAATTATTACTCAATGTCAAAACTCCAGCATGAGCAGCAGCTCAATGTCACTAAAGCAACTATTTTAAACGGGTCATATGGTCTCATCCACTCTATGAGTGGTTTGGACCTACAAATTTGATCAGAAACATGAATTTTAATCTCCAATATCCTATTTTACTGCTACTCAAAATCCAAGTTTGTAATCAGCTCCAGATAATCAGGTCAGACCACAATAATTACAATCTACTACAGAAATACCTACGGAAGAAAAAGCTTCAAGAGAAAGAATTAAAAAGGACAATGTTCTAATGCTCACTACCAAAATTTAGAAGCCCTAGAGCTCAAATCCGGAGCACAACCTCGGATAAGGTATATTTAGTTGACCGCAACCTCAGCCGATAAATAATTTGGATGAATAGAATCCTGTCCAGAAACTTTGGTCTTGGAGAGTTTTAGCACTTGCACTGCTTCTTCTACCTTGGCAGCCAATGACTCAGGTGACTCCAACAAAAGAAGCAGTTCTGAGTTGTCCATCTCCAAAAGCATTCCAGTTATTTTTGCAGCAAGATCAGGCTGCAAACAGAAGATATATACATTTTTATTGAATTTATACAATATCTTGTATGATAAACAAGAACATGTTCATACACCTAATCTTACCTTGTGTTTCTTGACAAGGGGATAAAGGCGCTCGCCAAGTATCTGTTTCTGGTGTTGGGGGGTAGCAGCAGCAAGCATGCTGCTCAACATGTTTGATCCTTGGGATGCAGCTCCAACAGAGTTAGAAGCAGTAGATGGGACTGCGGGTCCATTGCTCACATCACGTGAACGTGCATTTGGAACATACTTGGTCTGTCCAGCTCTCTGCCATTCAAAGCTCAGAGACATTATTGGATATAATGGCAGATATACAACCCACAATTCAGGACATGAATCATGGCAGATATCCATCTATTATGAAGATAATCTACAAATCTAAGGCAGAAATGCATCTCTTCACCGAAAAGGAAAATGGAAATGCATCTTAAAGAAAACAAAAACTCCTATAATGTCTCTTGAATTGTACAAATTTCTATATAGGTAAAAGTACATTAAAGTTTTTTTATCCCAAAGAAATTAATTTAAAAAATAATGCAGTATAAAAGGTGTTCATTTTTTTATCCCAATGGCGCCAATGGAATGACTGTCTGAATGTGGCAATGTATCTTTTGCCCTAGAACCAAAACTCCATATCACAAATATTATTTGGGTTAACTTRACAGGAAAATTGCCACATTCAACTCATGACTAAAAGCATGACTGCAAAAAGCATAATTTCCATTTATACTACTCGTTAAGAGACAAGCATATTTTCCTGAATTACAAAGAGAAAACAAGATTCATGCAACTAACTCCAAACAGTTGTGAGTTATGATGCCTGGATAGCCCTCCAAAAGGTGCCTTGTCATGTCATATACTAATTTTTAGTGTAAATACAGTATCTAGCCATGGCTGTCAAGGTGTCACCTAGGCACCCACCTAGGTGTTGCCTAGTGATGCAGTTCAGCTTTCTATGACAAGAAAGGATATAAGAAACCAATTCAGTGGACCCATAGAGCAGCAAATGGATTTGCAGACCAGCTAGCCAAACAAGGGGTGAACAGGGATCAATGTTTCTGGGCTCAACAGTAAAAGTGAAAAGTAAATTTACTACTTTACTGATAAAAAAAGGATATAAGAAACCAGTTTCTAGAGAGATTTGAGTATATCCCAAAATTACTAAAATATATGAAAGAAGGAAGAGGAATCGATAGCTGCACACATATTTGGATGAGGACGGTTTCTATTTTTTATGTTTTAAAACCAGTTCTTATTTTCTGTATAGAATTTCCTTTTTCGATAATTAAGAGTTTCCTAATTTTTTAGTATGCCTATAATTAGTAGTTTCATATTTTGTTTAGGAAACTATTAGGTTGAATCAACTACTTTTTTTTTTATGAATGTGAATCAACTACTATTTTGCCAAGTTTTTATACTTAGGAATTTGAGATTCTAATTAAGAGTCTTCTGCAGTTTTAGTAATTACTAATTACCAAATCACAAGGCAGGTGCCATTATGATTTTATTACTGTAACTGCATCTTATTGTGTATGTGTTTATACATCCCATAATGTGTTATATATTGCTTATGCTTTGTTTCAAGGTTGCTTTTTATTGAAACATAAAAGATCTGAGGGTCTTCCTCTACTATAGTATATACCTTCTTTGTGGGGGAGAGGGTTTGGGAGTCAAGGTGATTGCCCCGTTGTTGTTCATCTCACATTTTCAAATTGTGTAGTACATGAATTCCAATCAGAATCAAATTGCAGTTATCTCTTAATAAATCACCTAATTTCTACTTCCAGTTTGTCCTCAAGGTACTAAAGGTTAAAGGGCATCTACTAAAGCCCATTTCTGCAAAAGCTTATAAATTAGATTACATACTTCCATAAACAGATATCTTTTAAATATTCTTCTACTCCTATTTACCAAATATCGTTGCATAAATGTCATAGAAGAATCCTGTAAAACATCACTTTCCCTCTTTAAGCAAAGAGATAATTGGATATGTGTAAAAGCACATGTAGGCCATCAATCATATCTGCAAAAGGAGCCCAACTGATACCAAATGAAGAGAAATGAATTCCACACATATTACCCCCCATTTCCTTGCACATGGTACTTATTAAATTGTCATCAGTATTTTTTTTTTGATAAATAGCAGTAATTATTTTCTCCAGGTTATTGATAAAAAGAAACTAATAAATCTTTTCTCCAGGGCCAGTGATCATGCAGAGGCCTCTTGGAGAGACAAACTTCCCCAATTGAAAACCAGTGATCTTGTTGCAGAAAGCCTGACAAATGCCATAAGCAGATATCAAGAGAAAAGGCATTTCAAATCCCTCTCACAACCAAGAATATGAATTATTGCTAAATATAGAACAAGAGTACAACAAATGCTCCAGACTCCATTTCTAGTGATATTTTTTTTCTTCTAAGATGAGTTCTGACAAYCTTACGTGAATATAATGGTTCATTTTCCAAACTTAGTGAGAACAACCTCCGTACACTACATAATTCATCTTCTGGAAATAAAACCCTGTAACCTAACCTTACCAATAAAGTTTTTAACAACCTCCGTACACTACATAGTTCATTTTCCAATAAGTTTTTAACAATTACAACAAAAATTCTATAACCTCCTCCCAGTTTGAATCTAACCCCTATTTATTTTCCTCGAAACATGCATCACTCCCTTCAACTCCCACCACCAGATGGTACCAACAACAATTGGTAAAACCAAAGTAATGACAACAATATTACTCTTTGAAGGGTCCATTCTCTCCTCCCGAACCTTCAAAGCTACCTTCCCAAAGAGCTCTCTATTCATCAAATACAACTTACACCCCTACCCCCTATTTATATTCCTCAAAACATGCATCACTCCCTTCAATTCCCACCACCACATGCATCACTACCTTCCCAAAGAGCTCTCTATTCATCAAATGCCACTTACACCCCTATCCCCAATGTCCCCCCCCCCAAAAAAAAAAAAGCAAAAAAGGGACTTCTTGCAACAAGCCACCAGTACCCCAATTCAATAAATAAAATGGGTTCTTTTTTATTTATGTTCTCATTAACCAGAAAATGCATTAACAAAGAGACATAGATAATGAATCAAGTTATAGCCATTAAAACAAATCACTTCTTGCTTCTATTCCTACCCTTTTTCCTTGCAAACCTTCCAAACATAGTTACTGTAGTGGTAGCTTCATAAAAGGGATAATAAATAAAGGGGCTCAATAGGGCACACACTTCCCAAATCAAGAAGATAGAAGCTCCCCTTACAACTCATAGGTCTATTCTCAAATTTTCCAACACAAACTCCTACTTGTTTCCATATCAAACCCTTACTTCCAGAGGAATCCTATGATACTTGTCAGGAATAAAACAAGAAAAGGATGGGAATGAAATCATATATTCCCAAAAGTTCAATTAGATAAAATTTAAGTTGCCTTTGTCCATGGAAATTTCAAGAGTTGCAAATTGATTTTTGTAGTCGTGTCCAATGCTGGCATAAAAGACACATTTCTAAAAAAACCCTGGGTCCCTGAATTCTTCAGGGAACATAAATTGTCACTCCCAAAGAAATCAAATGTTCACTCAACCAACTTAAAAAAAAAAAAATGCTATCAAGGGATAATTGGATATATTATCAACTAAAATTATCCAGAAGAAAAGATTGATAATGAAGTGGTACTCTTTAGTCTTACCATCAATAAGAAAACGTGATTTTTTTAATTCATGAAACCTAGATTATATTAAAATATGTGAAAAAAAACATTACAAGTTTATTTTCATAACCATAACATCAGCCCAACAACCAACACTATGTTACAAAAGTGAAAATTTTTATTGAATAGATCAATAATATACTGATACTTTCCATTTACAATGCAATTTTACATTTAACAAGAACAATAGGTATAGATGACAAGGCTGATAAAAAACAAGGTAGAAATGACAAGCGTGTTATTGGGAAAGCCTGGTTTGAAGTATGTCTTATGAAATTCATTCATATGTGGCATATATTTAATGTAAATATTTTTTAATCCATATATATGCAGGAAGTTGCAACATAGCCATTGTTTGCTTTTTATGGTCCATGCAACAAAGATGGTAGCATTGCACATTGAATGTAACTAATCTATGTTATGAAGTGGGCCCAAAAAGAAAGAAACAGACAAAGTTAAATATAACCATGTCAGCATAAAATTTGCTACAGACTCGGTGCAAACAAAGAAATGAATTTGTCCAGTATATAAATATGATGCATCATCAACCAGATCAAATATGGTTTCAAATTTGTTGGTAGAACTGGAAGATGGGAAAATGGAAATAAATGTTTCACCAAATAAAGTGTTCCTCAATAACATTAATAGCATTAATGAGCCTTGGCACAAGGTTTGGGTTGCTCTATTGCGACCTGGGTGACCAGGGTTCAAATCATCTTAGAAACAGCTTCTTTGTATGTGCAGGAGTAAGGTTGCATACATCTGTCCCTCCCCAGTCCCCACATTGATGGGAGCCTCATGCACTGGGCTGCCCTTTATCATTAAAGAGCCTGTTTGAATAGTTTTCTAACAGTAATTTGTAGATATATCAACATATGAAATCTCTATGGTAGCGGTATCCATATGCATCCAAGCACCCAAATTATTTAAAAAAAAAAATTATTACCTAATACACATCATAATCATTTCCATATACTAAAATGATTGAAAGTGTAAGCTTCATAGTCCGACAAAAGCATTATCAATTTTTAGATGATTAAGTCAGCAACATTACATTCTCAGAAGGAAGATAATTGCTTTTAACTTGGGAGATTTTCCTCCTCAAAGTCAAATAAGTTCACTTTTTACAGATATTATACAATACTGCATTTAATGCATTGATGGAACTGGATAAGTTTGGCGGCTATTTGGGAATAAAAAAGCCTGGGCTGTTTTGAAGCTTAATGTGCATGACAAATTGGCATGGGTTTGGTAAAAGAGTAATTGCAATCAATTTTCTTTTCATTAAAAAAAACAAGTAAAGAACTAAGAGGGGTAACTTGTCATGTGCGGGAAGCTTCAGAGCTGCCCAGGCTTTTTTTCCAAACAGCCAAGATTTTCACCAATAGAACACAACCAAAAGTCATATATTATAGTTATAGTCAGCACACTTTGACAACATATGCAAAGCTACCCATAAAAAAAAAAGGATAATGCATTAGAAGCCAGTAGTAAAAATAGAATGCAAACCTGCTGGTTGCTTGAATCTTTCAGTGAATTTACTGACTGAGTTGGTTGTTGCAAATGTGGCATAAACTGGACAGAGTGTCCACCACCTTGGGGAAGCAAATGCCCATTCATTCTGCCCCTGTTTTGTCTATGCTGTCTTGGAGTATTAGGTATCTATCATTAAAAAAAAAAAGCAAAGAAAAAATAATAAAAAACATGGAGTATAAATTGGTTGCACTAACCCCATTTTATTAACATAAATACAGCATTTATTATTTTTCTTGATAAATCAATTGTACTTATTACTTATCATGGAGAACTAAGTGGCACTTACTACAGGAAGTGGCATAGGTTGGAAAGCTGGTCTGGCTGGAGGTGCATATCCACTGGGCCTCCATCCTGGTCTCAAGCCCAGAGGTTGATACATAAGCCCTTGTCGAGGAGGAATTTGTGAAACAACACCTGGAGGAGGTGTGTAGTAAAGAGGTGGATATCCAGCAGGGATAACAGCAGTTGAGGGACCCCCTAATCCTGGCATACGCTGTGAATACTGTAGCTGCAGTTGTGCTTGCCTCTCCTCTTTCCTTTGTGCTATAGCCACATACAAAGGCTTCCCGTGGAACATGCAACCTTGACATACCCAAGGATATAATTGACAAGAAAAAGTTAGAAATTTAAATTTTTGTAGTTAATGGTAACTTAAATGTTTATGATCTATACTGCAATGGTAACCCATTTCTTAATATTTGTAAAATATTTCCAGATGTATCATGTGTTTATGAACCAACTCTTTGTTGGAAAAACCTTTACTTTTCCCCGGATCTGGCTTCAAGCTATTACTAATAATTTTTCTACTGTGCTAAGAACAAATCAGGATAATAATCAAGTTTATACAGGAAAGGCATTCCTATTTCCACTGTAAATAGCACATTTTCAAGGATAGATATGACATCATCAAAAGTCAACCTGACAAGGTGAACAAAAGTAACTGCTTTCTAGAGATCATTTCGGGTTGGTTTAGAGAAGCTTTTTCACAGTCCTCCCAGGCCCAAATACATCTTATATGTTTTGATTCATTTTTTTTCCTTTCATATTATATGCTTGTAGGAGCCAGTACATAGTACATACACAAACATTTCTCCCTAATCATAAAACTGGAAGTGTGAAGCCAGGCATACTAGGTTCAGCAATCTCCATCCACATATACCAATCGTTAGGAGTTTCAATGGCACCCAATTACCTGAAATATCATACTAAACCTACCAGGATTTGGAGCCTTAGACCCAATTAATAACCGGATCATGTTTAGTCCAAGCATTTATGCAAAATTATCAAGAAAGTTCTAATGAAGTTCTAAAAGATAATTGGAATAAATGCAAGTATATGAATATTAGTTGTTACTATTGTTATCCTTTTTACCAGTAAAGTGAAAGCCAATTAAATAAACAAATTAAATGGGCAAGAATTCCATCTATATACATGTCTTAGCAAACCCAGAAAAGCATAATAAGAACAAAATATTAATGACACTATTCCAATCAACTAAGAAAGCCATGTGCTTGATTCCTCTAAATCCAAAAATATAGAAGATGTTCAAAAACTGTTATGAGCCATAGTTGCCCCTCAAATAAATGGTGGCTCCTTTCCTTCCAAATGCTCAGCATATATCAAAAGGGAGGAGATTCCATAAAAAGAAAAAAAATCATGGGCAGATAAAGATCTATGTAAGCCAACCAAGTAATAGTATTTATTTATGCATGGTAAAGTAATGTATCTACTCAAATTTACTTCTTTCATATTTAACTATTATATGAAGTTCAGTTATACTTTTTTTTTAAATGGTCAAACATGAGGAATAGGTTACAGTTATTTCGCATATCAGGCTACACTACTGCCAAAATGTACATAGACCCTTATCCTATAAAACCGGGGCATGATGTATAAAATATAGTTTTGGTCATGTAAAATTAGACCTTACATAGCTAATAGATCGACAGTAAAGCACATATTTCTACGTCCAAATCATGCAGCTTTTTAATTATTAAAAAATAAAAAAAAAACAAGGATAATGAGCTTACCATGAAGGGTAGATACAGCTTTGTTAGCCTCCTCAGGAGTAGAGAAGCATACAAACCCAAACCCCTTACTTATTCCTTTTTCATCACGCATTAGCTTCGCAGATGTAATAGTGCCACATTGATTAAAGTATTCCCGTAGTTCATTGTCATCAACGTCATCATCAATGTTCTTAACATACACATTTGAACCCTAAAGTGACAAGCGCAAGATTTAGGGAGAAAAAATACATATATTAATACATGCATGCATGTGTATGTGAGAGAGATGAAGATATTACCTTGTATTTTTGGATTTGCTCCTTACGCCTTTCCTCAAACTGGCGGCGCAAGATTTGCTCCCGCTCTGCCTTTTTCTGTGCTCTTGCGACATATATAGTCTTTGAGCCTATTCAGCATATAATTATGGGATGAAAATGCCAGGATATAAATGGGACTATAATTTCATAGTTCCTACTTGTGATATTCAGGATATTAAATGGGTTAAACTACCTAATTGTGCTCCATTCATTGCCTCCATTGCCCGCTTGGCATCATCTGAACTTTCAAAGTTGATGAATCCAAAACCCCTCGAGTTTCCATTGTCATCCTTCGAGATAACCAGATTAGTAATTTTCCCAAACTCAGAGAACTTTTCCTGCAGAATCTCTTCAGTCACATCCTGGTCCAGGTTCTTCATATATAGATTTGTGTATTTAGCATCGGGGCTGGGTAAAACCCGATCACTCTTTTTTATGAAATTTCCAACATATCTACACCATGCAAGAATTAAATTGAAGTTAATATCACAAACCATGAAACTGAACCATAGTAAAGGTTAATCTAAATAAAGAATGGTTGGTGGCAGGATTGGACACGTATATACTAACTACACAAGAATAACAGTAAAAGCAGTAATAATAACAACAGCAGTAAATATCAGATATCGGCAGGCAAAATTAGATAACGATCAATCTATATAAGGAATGACAGCAGCAGAACTGAACATGTGCATGCTACGACAAAAAAGAAGACTAACACAAGCAATAGCAATAGAAGCAAATACCAGAGATCATCAGACAAAATTAAATGAAGATCAACCTAAATAAAAAATGACAGCAACAGGACTGTTCACCTACATATTACAACATAAGAATAATAATGACAAAATAACAAAAACGACACTTAAACAACAATACTAATAGCAAAAAGAACAATTTTAATGAGAATCCAATCGAGGAGAAATAAGAACAAACTCAGTTGCACTTACATCTTTTTTCCACCAACAGTGGAACCATTAAGTTTCTCGATAGCAGTTTTGGCAGACTCCTCGGTTTCAAATTGCACAAACCCATATCCTTTGCTTTTTCCATCTGGAGAAATCRCTACTTTGCATGATAAGATGTTCCCATATTTTGAAAACATCTCATGAAGCTTCACATTATCGATGGAATCATTCAGATTCTGGATAATAACCAAAATAATTTAGTCAAAGTTCAAATGAAAAGAACAAAGAACCAATATAGTTTGCCATCAAAAATATAAATACCTTCACGAACAAATTTCCAATTCCACTCTTTCTTGCATCTGGATCACGATGTGACCACATAATCCTCATCATTTTCCCATTCAATGGAGTGTGGTTTAATTTTTCAATAGCCCGGATTGCTAATAAGAAAAAGAAAAGTGAGGAGAAATAAGTCAACAAAATCAAATTATAAAAAGAAAAAAGATAGAAATAAAATAGAACAAGAAAAAGATTACAACAATAGAAGACACTAGGAAGGGAGGACAGCTTTCTTTCCCTTTCCCGCAACCATTAAAAAAAATGGAAAAGGAAAACACCTACAATATAGGACAAATAGTAAGAGTATACCGAGCAAAACTAAGAAACCAGCCAAAGTAGATATAAAATCTAATGAAACATATCCAACAAACATGGTAAACAACAGAGAAAGAATCCAAGAGAACTGGAATAACTATCGTTTTAAAGAAAAAAAGAGAAAAATAAATGACAAAAATGAACAACCAAGTTGACGTTCTTCCCTTTCTCTATAGATCGGAAAATTCATCTTCATCATCAAAAATATAAAAGATGTGACAGCAAATATCAATCCAGTAAAGTTAGAAAATGATAGATTACAATACAATTAAGATAACCCAAGAAACAAAATACAAATGATTTAAATATTATATATATATATATATAATACAGAATAGTCAGCATTGTGATCCAAATAAGAACTTGCTTGGCGTTCTACCATGTCTTCATGGATCAAAAAAATTTGTTAACAAAATCACAAAAGCCTTGAGTGCATATATCATTACAGTACAAGAAAGGAAAAGGGGAAATGATAGATTAAATCCAATTAAGAGAACCCAATATATAGAACAGAAATAATCAAAAACCAAACAGAAGAACCAGCATTGCCCTCCAACGAATTCAAAAGAGAATGAGAAAGCAATAATAGAAAATAATAGAGAAAAGGGGTCATTCACTCCAATCAATACCGTCTTGGGTAGTAACAAAATTGGCGTAACCGTAACCGAGGGATCGCCCTGACATGGAGTCTCTACAAACCCGAACAGATGCAAGATTATCAATGACGGAGAATGTATCGAAGAGCTGCCCATCGGTGACGTCGGGATGAAGGTCACCAACGTAAAGCGATGCATGGGCAGGGACGGTTGAAGGAACCGCCATTGACGAAGCAAAATAAGAAAAACACTCCCGAACTGGCAAACAACACAACGGAGACTGCGAGTGAGAAGAGAGAAGCCAAAAACAACTGCTCTTCTACGCTGGTTTCTACAATGCAGCCAGGTAGAGATATAAAGGAGTTAGGATTGATAATTAATAACCCTTTCCTTATTTGCTCAGGTTTCCTTTTAGGGCTTGCCCCTGCGAGAAAAAATCAAACTTAATAAAGAACCCAGAAAAAAATTGAAGAGAATGGTTTAGAGGAAAATCAGATATAACGGGGAGTGAAGAACAGAGAGAGAGAGAGAGAGAGAGAGAGAGAGAGAGAGAGATGGGTTTGTGTGGATTTGCATGCGCGCGGGAGTTCGGGGGGCTTTATTATATGGATGGGAAAGTGGGGTAAAAGGGAGAAAAAAAGGGTTAATGAGGGTTGAACCCTGACTCAGTCCAACTTCTCACCTCTTTCATCAGTCACAGAACAGTAAGAGCATTTCATGAACCAAATCTTAACCACAAGCACGCCCTCACTCTGGACCCTAATCCTCCTCGTGTCCTCCCCTACGCTTTTCTTTCCTACCTTTCTTCTCAACCTTTTTGTTTGTCTATTTTCTTGACTCAAATTTCTTTAAATCTTTGTTTCATGCTTTTGTTAGAACTCCTTTTCATTTGGGAACTTTCTTGCTTCCTTGTTACAACTCTTGTATTCATCATGTCATTTGTTGTATTATTTTTAAAGATTTTTTCTTTCCCTTCGTTTATTTAACGGTTTCTAGGGCAAGTTTTGGAGTTTAATATCAATAAAAAATAATATATTTAAAAAAAAATCAAAAATAGGTTAACTTTTTTAAAATAATATCAATAAAAGGGTAAAAACATTGGTCTTCTTCTTCTTGCCATTTTGTTCACTAGAACCGTCGCCGCCCGCCACTGCCGTCCGCTACTGCCACTGCCCACCTCCGCCTCCGACAATGTTGCTAGAGGTGGCCGAAGGTAGAGGTGGCGGTGGCAGTATTGGTGGTCATTCCTCTGCCCGCCACCGCCGCCACCTTTGTCTCCACCCATCTTCAGCAACATTGCCGGAGGTGGGCGGAGGTGGGCAGAGGTGACTGCATTGGACAGAGAAACCACCAGCACCACCGCCTTCACCTCTGCCTCCGGCAACGTTGCCGAAGGCGGAGGCAGAGGTGGGCGGTAGCGGACGGCAGTGGCGGGTAGCGGCTCTGGTGAACAAATGGCAAGAAGAAGATAATGAATAGTGTTTTTGCCCATTATTGATATTATTTTAAAAAAGTTAACCTATTTTTAATTTTTTTAAAATATATTACTTTTATTGATATTAAACCCCAAAAGTTGCCCTTTTATGCTATTACCCCTTTATTTAATTTAGAACCCTTCTTCGTTCTTCTCTTAATTTGATTGATGCTTCAGGTAATACGAATACCCTTTAATTAATATTATATAAATCCGGCATTATTGGGATTTAAAAGAAAATTAATGGTATTGTAGCTTAGCATTGAATTTACTTTGATAGTTTCATTTATGTAAACTATTATCAAGTTTCATGTTTTAATAATATTGTATTAATTAGTTATAATAGTTGGTTGTTGAAAGCATATAGCACTTCCCAATGTTACATTTGTATTTAATAAATAAAATCTATGATGCCGAAAAGACATGATACTGAAAGGGATTTCATCAATCAAAGTCATCTATGAATTTCGATAGAAGCCCACCTGATTGTTTATGATTTTTATGATGTCCATTGATTGGTTATATGTTTTTCTGGTGTCATGTCTTTTTTAGTATCACTGTCGAACCCAACAATCAATTGGGTCCAAAATTGTAGTAAAATTATTAAAAATAATTATACATAAATTCAATTTGATCGACCGGGTAATTAAAAAAACAAACCAGATTTTGCATAAAGCAACTCATTTTCATTCCCACATTCTTGCATCAGTGCAAATGTAATTGTACCACAAATAAATGAGGCCTTAGGTACACAATTTTTTAGAATATATTAAATTTGTTTTTTATAGTTAATATAATAAAAAGAACTTCCAACATTTGCTAGTGAAAACAACGAAATTATGGAAGTTTTTAGTGAGACTGAAAAACATATGGAAGTATTTAGAAATTACACATGTATATATGTAAGTGTAAAAAAAAAATATTCAAATTGGAAGTGGGGTGCAACTTGGTGGACCCAATGATCCCAGACTGACCCAACATTTGATTTTTTTAGTTGATATAATAAAAGAACTTCCAAATTTTGCTAGTGAAAACAAAGAAATCATGGAGGTTTTTAGTGAGAATAAAAAGCATATGGAAGTTTTTAGAAATTACACATGTAAGAGTAAAAAATTATTCTAATTCAAAGTAGGGGTGCAACTTGGGTCGACTCAACCAATCTAGCCTACAATTTTACATGGGCTGGTATTGGGCTCAAAAGTGACAGGCTTTTAGTTTTTTTTATTTTTGGATTAGGCCCGAGTCTAACCCATATATAGACCTGTTCATGGGCTGGCCCGGCTGGGTTTCATTTTGTATTAACAGAATTTTTTAAGGCCCGAGCCTGAGCCCGGCCCTCATAAAAAGCCCGAAGCCCAAAATTTAGCCCATACTGTTAGCGGCTGAATAGAGAGAGAGAGAGAGATTATAAAGAAAAGAATAAAAAATGTATATATTAAATTATAAATATATATTATTTATATATTTTATATAATATATAAAATGTATATTATATATTTTATAAAATATATAATGCTGAGTCGGGTCGGGCCGGGTTCAGGCCGAGCTTTTTTGACAAATCCCGAGCCTGGCCTGAAATGCAATCGGGCTTACTGTGTTAGGCCCACGGGCCTAATTACATGACCAAGCCCGACCGAGGTGTGGGCCGGGCCATCGGGCTACCCGGCCCATGTACAGGTCTACCCATTGGATAGTTCAGGCTTGACCTTGAGTTCAGGCTTTAGGCCCGATTTTTAGGGCTCGGCTTGGATTGAACTAAAACCTATCCAATCCACCCAACCTACACCCCTAACTTGGGTTGGTCCTAATTAGCATTTTACACTATTTCAGTTTTGGGCCGAACCCATTTAAATTTTAACAAAATCCCAACCACAGTCCACCCAAATTGCACCCCTAATTCCAAGTTATTCTGAAAAAAATATATATAAAGTACAACATAGTTTGTTATAAGATTTTAATTTCTGTACATTATCAAACTCACAGATTATAAGTATTGTTTAACAACTTTTCCTCATTCTCTTATTTTCTATCGTACCAAACATAGCACTAAGGTCTCTGCCATTTAATAACTGGTGAAATAGGCACAAAAAAATATTTTAAATAAAAAAAATGTCCCATTCATCAGTATTTCAGCAACTCACAAGTTATTTATTTGCTGGTTGATGAAACACATGGATTTGGGTTATTATTTTATCACTGAAACTGTTTCGTGCTAATAATACGCTTTGGTTTAAGCTGTTCTTAAGGCTCAGTTTGGAAGGAGTACAAATACAGATACATAGAATGCAAGACCTTGAATTTCATATCATTTTATATGTATTTGTATTGTACATAATTGTGTTTATACTCTCTCCAAACTGAGGCTAAGGCTCTATTTATTTACAGTGCAAATTTTGAATCGGATTCAGTTTTATATTCATTTATTTGTAACCATCATTTATACTTTTACTAGATATAAATTTGTACTTTTTGTCTCATTTGTACTTAACTGGTACCATATGCACAAAGTGAGGACAATATTATCTTGTTTCATACCTCACTCCCAAACAAAACAAATAACTCTCATCTTAACCTATTCTCTTTCAACTTTCATATAAAGTGGGGAGTGGGGACTACATCTTACTTTTCACAAACAAATAAGACAAAGTTAAATTTGAGGCAAAAATAAACTGCAAATTACATTCAACCTATTTGCACTTCCGTGCAAATGAGATTGGCACTGCAAACAAATTGAGGCAAAGTTGAAAATTTCTTTCATGTTTCACCTTCACTCCGGATCTCCTCCCGACAAACTCTTCCCACATCCTTACCCACAAGATTGGRAAAGCATATTGTGTATGGTTTTCAAAATTAGACCAGATTGGATGGTCGAACCAGAAAAACTGGGAACCGGTCAGGTAACCAGTTCTGATTTTCCCCCAAACTGGATATTCTCTAAAAACTGTTGATTTTGATCAGCAAACCACTGATTCGGGCAATTAATCGAACGGTTTTGACCGATTTTTATTATTTATTTATTTATTTGTTAGAACAGGCCAACCGTTTGATTTGAATAGTCAGACCATTCGACCCGGTAATCGGACCCCTGACCAATTCGGTCTCCGAGTCGGTTTTAAAAACCATGATCTTGTGAGTAGGGATGTGCGAAGAATTTGTGGGTAGAAAATCTGAGCTCTCAGAAAAAGCACAATATCAAAAACAAAACATAGAAATGGTGAATGTAACCGTTTCCAGTTATGTGAGTATTTTTATTAGGCCAAAACCCATTTAATTCATTCCTGTTCATTTAAACCTATTTATTCTGTTTTTGATTAACTATTAATTCATTAATAACAAAGTTATTAAAATTATTTTTAGACAATAAATAGAGTGAATATGAATTTAAAAGTAACGCAAATGCTGAAGAAATCCATGTGTGGACTCCATGCAAGAGACGTTAAAGCACTAAGAAATAGACAAAACAATAGAGGTTTTTAGTAACCAAGGATTTTGATTTATCTGTTTTTTATGCGTGTATTGTAACCAAATACTTCTCTATGTAAAGTTCCCACCCATTTCCTTAATTGTCTATTGACACAATAAATACATTAAACAGTTTGATGCTCACTGTGTATTCTTTGAAGTTTAGGGGTGCAATTTGGGGGGCTTGGTTTAGGTTTTTGTCAAAATTTGAATGTATCCGATCCAAATCGACCCAAAGACCAAGTTTGAAGCAGTGTAAAATGTTAACTCGGGCCAATCCGAGTTGCACCCGTATTAATAGTTAAAAAATACTCCTTAATCTTAACATTTATTACTATTAAGGGCACAAGTTTGAGTATCCTATTTCAAGAATTTACACAGAATCAGGGGCAAATTTTAACAAATCCTCATCCCCACATAGGGATGGCAATTTTCCCCATCCCCGACGGATACTCAGGCTCTCCGATCCAATGGGGTTGGGTATAGGGAATGCTTTGGTGGGGTTGAGGTTGGGGATGGGGCTAAAACTGAATCCCCGATCGGGTTCGGAGACGGGGATGAGGAATGCAATCCCCGCCCCACCCTGCCCCGGCCTAGATGTATATATATATATATATATATATATTTTTTTTTTATATAATATTATATATTATTTTATATAATATTTATATTATAA